TCTACTTTCAGGTAACCGCATCTTTCAAATAAAGCTGTACGTGTATCGCTAAGTTCGAATGACGCACAGACACAGCAGTGGTCATCCCGTATTTTTGGAAATCTGACAACGCTGCTTAGCGCCAGCGCCTTCAATAGATAAATGAGACGTGAGTAACTAGAACCTGACTCTGTGGGAAAAAACAGGGGAAATTAGTGATAAAAAGGAATGGTGCCAGTTTACTTAACCAAGAATAATCTATAGACGAATCATAAAGGATGATAGAAACTTACGACAGAAGTTGTCCCTAAAGGAACTGAACTCTTCTTGAGAAGAAAACAGTATACTCGGAACATAATGGCTCCTGTCGAAAATGAAGGCCTGATCTGCAGCAACAACATCGTTAAGATTCTTTTCGGAAACCGTTAACAGAAGCGACAAGCTGAAGTCTGCCGGAAACCGACACTCATCTTCCGGCTCGTAATCGAGGTCTGAACTATAACAACAGACGATTAGAAAATACCGCTTCTTAGCGATATGGCGGCCGAAGCAGAATACCATGGAAAGTCTATTGTCTTTCTGGAAGGACATGGACTGAGGAAACCGCAGTGGAACTGCAGCTGGAACATCTTGATGGCCGTGATTTTTCCTTGCACCTTGGTTCCAAATGTGGATCGTGCATGGTAAACGATGATAGATACGTTTTCTTCGACTTCGACGTTCAGCGGAATAACAAACTGCCGAGCAAGACTTTCAAACGGTCTAATCAATATGAAACATGAGAGAAAAACAGAAAAACAGTAGTTCACTCACTTTAAGTTTTCATATTCTTTAGACGACGAAAACACTCTTTTATTGCACGAATAAATTTCGACGAATGGTCGGCAGCCATTTCTAAATATAGAAAATTTCCCAAATCAACAAACCCAAAAAATAACTAGAAGACTCTTTGCAAGGCGATACACGACAAAAGCTTATAAACGAGAAACTTAATTTTGCCACAAAAAGTTTCTAACATATATATCTTATAAGTAGTAGGACTATCTTCGCATAATTAGTAAACATATCAATATTAACGCAGTATATAGCGTCAAGTTTTGGAAAATAAGTTGCGGCAAACAACAGCTTGCCATCTATCACACACTAAAAGCGGTCAGAAACCTACCTTATTCGGTTGAATGCCGGAACACCTGAAAGTGTTATCGATTCTATACGGACAACATTTGGAAGTGGAACAACGCCAGGGTCACAGCAGATTCGTTCGATATACTTCATATACCTAAAACCGAGCAATATAGGAAAGAGTATATAACTGAAAAATCAGGTCCATTTATACTACTGAAATTAAATACCTTAGAATGCCATGATGCGAAGCTATCAGCGACCGTCTTTGGATATGAATGCTGGAAAATAAACGAAAAGGAGCAAGACAGAAGTGAAGAAACGAGGTCCCTTCAGTGAAGAGGATTACTGGCATGATGAAGCTCAACAAACAAGACAGTCTGAAATACCCCAATGCGATCGCTTGGATATGCTATCAAAATGTCAAAGAGACTCGCAAGAAGAGTCATGGCAAAGTTACAAGGACGACGGCCAGAGGAACATAGAAGACCAATGACTGCTTATGCGTGAACACTTGCACTGTCGCGTATTTGAATCCAGACCCCGTGAAACTTGAATGATTGATAGAGGATCACAGCAACAGTAAAAAATGAAGCAGCTGCCCATGCAATCTGAAAGAAACAAACATGACGATGAAGAGAGCCAGCATTTTGAGGCATCTTAAGGAGTACACGTGTATAGTATATTATCTGAACCATGACATGTTGCTTATGAACAAATTATAATGGCTTCACAAGGAAAGAAAACAACGTTCTTTCGAACACAAAACTCTCACTGCATTCAAATATGTGTGGTCTCAGGGAGAGTAAATAAGGACATCGATGTTTACACTGAAAGTCGCGCTATCTCTAAATGTTTGGTCTCTTAATTGTAAAAAGCTGGCAGGTTTCATTACTTCTAGCGCAGATATCATAAACCTGGGTTACTCTGCTGCTTACACAGGTTCCTCGGTTACTCAGCAAACAATAACACAACAAACAGCTTCTAGCTAATCAAAAACCAACCTCAAATAAGGCGTAGTCTAGTATTACGGCTCACTAACAGGCAAATGTCCAACTGATGAAGGTAAGGCAGCGATTGGGAAAAAAACAACTACCTTTCTTGAGAAGGTCTCAAATTCGGCTCGCAACGCCTGTCTGCAAACGCCTTTACCGCGTTTTCTACACTGTTTACCGCGTGGGAAAAGACGAAAAAGGAACAAATCACAGTTGCCGAATTCTCCTTTCCGTTCTAAAACATGCAACATTACATTTCACGTATCATAACGGACGATCGATTAGCGCACCGGACAGTGCAGAGCGCACACGTTCTTTGGATTTTGCTTCAGCCAGAGGTACATGTTTTTGCACAGGGATAACAACAGCTCCAAAGGGGGAGCCCGGTTTTCTACAAACGGACATACAGATACCTAAAATACCGATTCAAAGACTATGCAAAACAAGAGAGTTTTGGAATCACAGGAGAATTGCATTTATTTATTAATTAATCAATGAAATAATTCGGTAGGAAACTCAGTAAGTAGTTAAGAATGCTGATAAAAAACCAATCAATTAAATGAAGACATAAATATGCAAATAAACAGTTGCTGTAGCGTAGTTGTTGCTCACGTTCATCACTTTAAGCCGTTTGAATTACTAGAACATATCTGGTTTGCAATATCCAAAGCGGTCTCGGCAATTCAACATTTCTGTTATAATGCTATGACTGCACCAACTACAGCGCCAGTTCATTTCGGAAGGCAGATGTGCCTCTACCCTGTTCATCCATGTTTAGGACAGCTTCCTCATCGACAAATGTCGTGCCTAGACGTTCTCAGACTGAAGCGAAAGTCTATGCTTAACCAATTTGTCTCTCCTTTTCTAACTCTGTATACTGCCTTATGACACCAGTACCCGTAAGAAAACCCATAAGAATTAATCGCTATGTCGCTCCGCTATTTAATCCAGCGTTGAACCCATCGCCCCTGCACACTGTTCAGCCGTCACTCTTGGAAAGACGGCTAAAATACCATATACACCACTTGCCTGACTGAGACAGCATA